CCCTAACCTATTATATTGATATAATATTATATTTATATTGATGTAAATGACATTGGTTTTATTGGGACCCATGTTCTCTATCCTTGAACCGAGCTGTATACATATATGTACCCGAGGTAGTTTTAGATTGTTTAGTATTAATACTATTATAGTACCTGATACGACAACTACCCCTTCAGCGGTACTGCCGGAACGTACCCTGGTATACTCCCTAACCCTAACCCTAACCCTAACCATATCAGATAGTTACCAGGGTACTAGCCCGACCAGGCTGTGCGACGGTTTGTCTACGGTATTCTAACCATAGCAATACCGTTTCTTGGAGCTACCAGGGTACGTTCCGGTATACTGGACCGTACCCAGGGTTTGTTCCGGCAGTACCCAGGGAGACATAGACCCTATCAGCATTAGTGATAGTAAGTCACTAAGTGCATAAATAATAGCACATCCCTAAAAATATATATATTTACGCATTCATGTTTGTCATAAAACCAGGGTTCTCCAAGAGCACCGTCGTCCAAGGGCTATCGTCGAGCCCCGCCATCCTAAAATGTACCCGTCACTCTAAATATCAAGCCGCCATGCTAAATATCATAGCCCCCGGACCCCCCTAGCACACAAACCTCCTTCGGCGATTTGCAACTAGGACCGTAAAGGCAGCACCCGCCATTCAATAATGAAAAAGCTTGCAGAACCCTGAAAACAACAATGAATTTCGAAATCTTTTATCTTGACCGCTGACATGACATTGACACCGCGCAGTTGTGCTGGCACCCTGAAAAAGTATTTTACACATTGGAGACCGAGGGCTAATCTAATCACAAAAGTACAACTATATTTATACCTGACTCACAGGCACATTAGATACAGTAATAGTCAGTATACTAGTATAGTATAGTATAGGTTATCTTCCTTTCGAATCCAGTTGGAAAAATGCTCTCTTTAATACCCTAGTTTATTTTATAAAGGCGGTGGATCTTCCCATGCTTAAAATTCTCGCCCAATTATCTTTGACTTAATTCTGTTTGCTCTAAGGCATTTGAGCATATTGTAAGTCTATTTAGCAGCGCTTAGCGGGCAGGATCAACACCTCTCAGGCGACGCTTCTCTGGTATCCGGTCTCTTCTCTGGATTGGATCTTCCGACTTCGTCGCAACTGGAGGCGCCCGGCACTAAAAAATCCTGGGCAGAACCCTCTATATATACCGTGGCCTGTCACATGAGTGATTAGTTTCTTCATGAGTAAATAAACCAAAATATATCTAAAAATATAGCCAACCCCCTTGCATGTTTAAGTTGGTTTTTACTTGCTATCACAGAAATTCTGTCAAGTTTAATTATTACTTACCACTGTCAATGGCAAAGAGTGTCGCAGCTACATGGGAGCATGTCTCCCCAAGCCCTGCCATGCAGTTACAGTGGCCGCATACAACACCTCCATCCTTCTCACAAATCACCCACACTTGCAACGGTTCATCCGAAAGCCTTTGGGAATGCAGCACCTAGGAGAATAAAATGCATCAAGGGAATAATTTAAACTGCTGCAGAATCTTTGTAATAGCTGGTAATGATAAAAAAAATTAATTAAAATGATTACTCACAATGTGGTATGCCTATATGCTACTATAGTAAATTATTACAAGTAGTAGAATTACAGAAGAACCACTTTTGTTATTAGATCAATATGGTCTCATAGCCAGAGTCTACGTTTATGTGTAAGTTAGCCTACTGGCATACTGATGAGTGATGTTTGACAATTAAGTACAACAAAGTTATAGTATCACGCTGCTCTCACCCCAAGGAAAAGTGCTCTGTTCTGTACTGTTACACCGACTTACACGGCTTTTTGCCCAATGCACTCAACAGTCGATCTGGGAGGAACTAAGTAAAGTAAGTTATCAGTGAGCACTGACAGTTATTTCAATGGTCCTACATATGTACATCTGTAATAATCTCATCAAAATGAGCCTATGTTAATGTTGATAAGGTCTAGGGGGCTTTCTCATCTGAGAGAACCAGTCATGGGAATGTATGTACATGTGTGTCACTTGACTGACATTTGATCACCTACCTGATATGAAGTGGTTATTTACATCATAACATTGCATGTGTGGTTGGTGACCAATTCTCCCGACATCTGGAAGCTCTTTACTCTCACAATCCAGGACAGATTTAAACTCTGACCTACATATTGCATAAGGATCAGCACCCACACAATCAATCTTCTGCGCCTGTTTAGCCACAGAATCTAGTTTGTTTCAATCCAGAGAGCACGCACGCACGCACACATGCACACACGTGTACCTGCACACGCACGCACGCACGCACGCACGCACGAACGTGTACGGGCACACGCGCGCACGCACGCACGCACGCACGTGTACGTGCACACACACGGACGCACGCACGCATGCACGCACGAGTAAGTTCACACGCACGCACGCACGCACGCACGCACGCACGTGTACGTGCACACGCACGCACACACTCATGCACGCACGTGTACGTGCACATGCACGCACGCACGCACGCACGTCTACGTGCACATGCACACGCTCGCACACACGCACGCACGTGTACGCACACACACACGAACGCACGCACGCACGCACGCACGTACGTGTACGTGCACACGCACGCACACACTCATGCACGAACGTGTACGTGCACACGCACGCACGCACGCACGCACGTCTACGTGCACACGCACGCACGCACGCACGCACGCACGAACGCACGTCTACGTGCACACGCACACGCGCGCACACACGCACGCACGCACGCACGCACTCACGTGTACGTGCACACACACGGACGCA